AGGTATGTCGCCGGAGGACAGTGTAAGTCGGTGGCCAGGCTGGAGGGGAAGGTGGTGATAATCACGGGAGCCAACACGGGCATCGGGAAGGAGACGGCCAGAGACCTGGCGCGAAGAGGCAAGTGCCCGGACTCCATCGTTCCCATTCTGTCCCGTCCCGGCTGACCTGTGCGAGCCTGTGTGCCAGGGGTCCCTTTTCTGGGTGTAAGGGAGAAGCGTTTCATGCTTACATTTAAGCAAATTGGATTCCAAAGCTATTTCAGATGAGCCTGAGAGCTTGCACTGAGGTGCAAGTCCCCAGTTCCTCAACTGGTGTCATGGCTTGCAGTTCAGAAACGTGCCTTGTGACATGAAAGTGCTCTGCACTGCAGCCCTTTAAGGAGGACTGGGAAGTTCCTGGTATCACTGGGTTCTGCTTGTATGAACCTGGGAAATGCTGTACACTTCAGTTATTTGTGTTGCAATCTAATTAAGTGGGTTTTGAGTAACTGGTAAGGAGATTAAACTACCTGTTCGCAATCTATTTAGAAATTACTCTGGCTGAGATCCAAGTATTGTCACATGCTCATGGCTCGATGGGGCAGATATAACCCTGTCAGACCATTATTGTGGTACACACTCCTGGCCTGGGATAACCTGGACAGAGGCACTTCTGATGTCTCTGGTGTGAAAGCAGCTTTGGGCTGGATCAGAGCTAACAACATAGTAAGAAGGCTTTGTCCCTCCCAGCTGCTCCCCTGACTGATGCCAGTTCTCTAAAGAAACAGTACCTTGTTTCTAAGCACTGCACCTTGTCATAGTCTTGGTCATCCAGGATGCTCCAGTGATCTCAGCTTCTGCTCCTTTTTTTTTTTTTTGCCCCCTTGCAGGTGCGAGGGTGATTGTTGCTTGCAGAGACATAGTGAAGGCAGAAGCTGCAGCCAGTGAAATTCGAGCTGAGACAGGGAACCAGCAAGTCATTGTGAAAAAACTGGACTTGGCTGATACGAAGTCCATCCGGGAGTTTGCTGAGAAATTTCTAGCAGGTACAGTCTCTGGATCCATCTTTTCAGTGAGAATATTTTACCAAGGACTGCTGTCTGCTCTTCTAGCAAATGCCAGATCCCTGACCTCCATACCTCTGTACTGTGTTGGGTACTGCAGTTCACAGTAGGGGCTTCTCAGAGGCCATGAGCTAGTTTGTCGTAGCAGACTTATTTTATTGAGGTGATGTGGCTGCAACTCAGATGGGTGTGGGGATTTTTTTGGCCGACTTCTGCAACCTTCTCATCTGTCTTCAGTCTCTGTTTCCCTGTTTAAGGATGTCTGTTGTTTCTTGCAGAGGAAAAGGAACTCCATGTCCTCATTAATAATGCTGGAGTAATGCTCTGCCCCTACTCTAAGACTGCTGATGGCTTTGAGATGCACATAGGAGTCAATCATCTTGGTAAGGCCATTGGAATTATATTTGCATTCAGTATTTGTGGCTAAATGCCAGAGTAAAATCCTGCTTTCAGATTTTCTCTTCCTCATCCTTCCTTCTTGGGGAAGGATGGAAGGCCAGAGTTTGAGTTCTGGAGGTGCAATGCAATGTGTCTACTTAGCATGGATCCAGTTTAAGTATCTGTACATGTTACCTGGGACATTTGAAATGTATGGCAGCTCTACACTTTTGAAGCTGAGGACCAGAACTTAATGGCCCCCCAAAAAAGTTTAGCTGTTGGTTCAGAGGGGACCTTCTTTTCCCTGGACTTAAAATTAAGGCAGCAGTAAGACAGAACACTTAAGTAATATGTTGCAAGTACTCTGAAATTTCAGCGGGGGAATGCTTCAGAGAAGATGACATTTCCTCTCCCTGGTAGGTCATTTTCTCCTGACCTTCCTGTTGCTGGAGCGCTTGAAGCAGTCTGCCCCAGCCCGCATAGTGAACGTGTCCTCGCTGGCTCATCACGGAGGCCGAATCCGCTTCCACGATCTCCATGGCGAGAAGAGCTACAATCGCGGCCTCGCCTACTGTCACAGCAAACTGGCCAACGTGCTCTTCACCCGGGAGCTGGCGAGGCGGCTGCAAGGCAAGTCCTAGAGGAGAGCGGAGTGTTTCTCTGGTTGGCTTTTTTCTTCTCCTGTCTGTGGCACCAGGAGGCTTAAACCACTAATTGTGTTTACAACAGGGCAGAGGAGTTTAGTAGCCTGACACAGCTGAATGTACTTTGGTGCTCATCAAAAACCAGCTGCACCCACACAGACCCTTGTGGTATGTGGGTGGAAGCTGAACCACAACTGCAGTCTCCAACAGAAAAGCTAATACTTTTTTTTTTAATACTCAGCTGCCTTAAATCTTGGTGACCTGTAGAGCAGAAGCACAGGACTAGACAGTACCTCTTAAGGCACAATATCTGTCTTTTTAGTCTTTTTCATAAACTTAAGTAGTACCTGTTTAACTAAAAGAGAAGCAGTGTCTTCTCTAGGAAATTAGTGTTACAGTAAACCCAAAGAAGCTGCTGTTTTCAAAAGCCTAGTGGAAACTGGTGCTGTTTTAGCACCCAGGCCCTCTAGTATGTTGTTTTGCAGAAGGTGTGCAGTGACTGCAGTGTTTTGAAGGGACAGGGGGATGCTCCAGCAAGCAGTAACTACAGAGGACTTCACTTACTCTCCCTGTATCCATGCCTGGACAACTCCTTTAAGTTGTAGGATACCTGCATGTAGAATTGAGGAGTATATTATTATTTTTAAAGACAGTTCAATGCATGTAGATCTGTCCTGGACTACTTTCTTTTGCCATAGGCACTAAAGTCACGGCAAATGCTCTGCATCCCGGTTCTGTCCATTCCGAGCTGGTCCGGCACTCATTTATAATGACGTGGCTGTGGAAGATATTCTCGTTCGTCCTGAAGACACCTTGGGAAGGAGCTCAGACCAGTATCTACTGTGCAGTAGCAGAGGAGCTAGACTCTGTGACAGGACAGTATTTCAGGTAGGTACAGATGCCATGATGTACCGTGGAGGGTAACCTTGTTGGCTGGCAAAAATGAGAATTACTGTCATTCTTCATTAAGAAGGGACAGGGTAGGAGGCTGGCTGATAAGATTGAGGGTGACAAATACTAGAGCATTACCCCTCCCAGGTCTGTAGCCGCAGATAGCATGTTTGGAAGAAATCCCTGACCTATGCTTCACACAATAGCAGGTCCTTTAAGTGCCAGGAATGTCACTGTACTCCAAGTGCAGGAACAGCTGTCACAGAGCTCTAATCCCCAGCTGACTCAGTCTTGGGCAAATCACTTTTCAGTGGAGCCGTTTAGTTAAAGAGGTCATTTGAGTCAATCCTGGGAAGACCACTCTGGTTCTCTTTGTAGTTTTACCCTACTGGAGCAGAAGGGGCCTGTGCTCCCAGGGAGCTGGGTGACCTGATGGTACTGCAGACCTAGGACACAAGATTTTGAGGTCTGGCATGTGACAAAGTCACTTGATTTTCCCACCACCTGGGAGGGACTCCTGCTGTCATGCTTATCGCTGTGTCCTGCAAACTGTCTCGTGTAGCTCCCACTACAGACCCTGTTGTTTCTTGGCATCAGCTTACTCCAGGACCCTGAATAGTGATGCCCAAAGCAGTTCCAAGTCATCATTATTCTAGATTTGAAGACTGCCATTTCAACAGACTCATGCAGGTGTATCTGTTGACTTTGCACCAGGTGTAAAGCAGTGTGACAATACGTTTTTAGGGGGGGAAATTAATGGATTATTTTTTTTTCCTCCACCTGGATACTGGTGGAGTCTTTACATCTTTGCAGAGCTTTCCTCATGTAATATGTGACAAGATTAGTCTTTGTAATGGCTTTGCCTGATCTTCACTTGGGAGTTGGTAGCATCTTAATCAGACTTGAATATATAAATAGATGTCTTAATCTTGCCTGGATGACTGTATGTCTAGGATATAAATGGAGCGTTTATGTGCTGGAATACAGAAAACCTTGGTGGATTTTAAACTCAGAAAAGAAGGGAGTTTTGGACTTTGTGGGAAATGAATAGCTTCGACAGTAATTCACAATTTACATTGGACTAGCTTAAAATCCTTTCACTTTCCAGACAATAGAATATAAAGCACAATATAGATGATAAGAAAACAATTTGCATGCCACAACAAGACAGGTTGAGTCCACCTGAGTCATTTCAGGAACGTCAGAGACTCAGCATGTGGAGCTCTAAACTCCAGGCTGGGATAGAAATCTTAGGACATGCAATTTCCTCCATTCTTTTAAACAACTCTGTTACTGCAGCATCTAGCATTATGGATGAGAACACGCAATCTCTATTGCGGACAGAGTGCTGTCTGATTGCGGGAGCTGAGAACAAAGAAGCCACAGTTCAGAGCATAATGGAAAAGGGCATAACCATACATGGTTATTAGAGTATTATTATCCTGGGGCACCTTTCATGCAATGACAGTGTACTGGGATGAACAGCATTCATGTTTGAGTGGCTTTTTTCTAGTGTTTGATAGAAAAGGCGCTTCTGATGATAGAAAAGGCGCTTCTGAAGAAGCTTGGTTAGCATTTATAGCCCTTTATAGTGGTATTAATGAGAACGTATGCTGAAGAGTACGTACTAAAGCATATGTACGTTTCTTTAAGAGTTGAGATGACAGATAGAACTAGACTTGCTTGACAGTTCTCGGTGCCATTGGGATAGACTCTTCCCTAGCAAGTTGGAAAGAAAGCTTTTCACAAGGTGGTTCAGCACCAACCCTTGTTTATATGCTAGGTCCCACCCTTCTTCAACTGGTCTTGGCAGAAAGCAATTCCCTTAACACAGATACTTCAGTATGCTAATGCAGATGGAGATCTTTGACTTAAAAAATACAAATTTAAAAAAAGTTCCTCTTACAGTGATTGCCAGCCAGCCTACGTGTCTCCACGAGGTCGGGATGATGAGACAGCGAAGAAGCTCTGGCGTGTGAGCTGCGAGCTTCTTGGCATCCAGTGGGACTGAGCTGCACAGACTTCAAGCATGCAGCGCGCTGAGCCCAGCGATGCTTCTCCCAGCAAGAGCACTGCTGAGAGACCTCAAGACAAGAATGCTGATTCTTAGCTGCCCTCCTGATGGCTCTGTGGACACAATCTAATGAGAATTTCTGGAGTATTACACTTAAGGATTGAGATTTGTGAGCAACCAGTCCCCCTTCGTAGCTGCAGAATTAGAGCACCAATGCAGGAGGCAACCTTTGCTTGGTATCTTACACAATAGCCAGACACTATTGCTCCCTGGTTGTAGAATAGACGTAGAGGTTGCAGTCTTAGGTTTAAAGTAAGAAAGAACTACCTTTATTTAAAGCATTTTTTTTCCTAACAGTACTAGTAAGAAGCTAGGACTCTCAGTTTATGATCTATCAGGGTTATTTTCAGGTCCTACTATTTGACTTGGCAGAATAAAAGTACTTTACGTTACTAGATTTTTTGGCAATTACATGCAATACAAATGCTCTTAAGCACAGCGAAACAGGTGCTGGCCTTTTTGTGCCAAGCATTAGGTAAAGTTTTTAAGTGGAATCATTTATTTTTCTCCTCTTCTATAAGACATTGGACCCTAGCCACTGAAGTAGCCTAGCCCTAAATGCCTGCTGATTGATGGCAGTAAGTTAACTGAGGGTTGGCATATCTTTTGAGAGAACTCGGGGTGGGTGACTGGGAGGTTAAAAGCTGCAGGAGTGCTGCAGTTGTGCATAGGCAAGTTGTCTTTTTTAAAAAAAAAAAAAAAATTTAACATCTCTTCTGTGACGTGTTGAGCAAAGATGGTGTAAAATTTGTGACTATCAGCCCCCCCTGCACTTTAAATGACTTTAGAACCTAGAAGAGAGAGCAGAATGAGTAAAAAACCATCTCAACTATGTTAAAACACATTAAACAACTTCAGCTGAGGCTTTATCTTTAAATGACAGCAAACTACCCAGAGCTAAATAGCTGAAGCAGAGGGCTGGACCATCTGAAAATATAACTGAATCTGTCACGTTAGCTACAGGACGTGAAAGTAAGAGCTGCCCAGAAATGCTTATGGTTGTGGCCTTGCAGTGCAGCTGGGTCGGTCTGGAAATGGGACCAATCCCTTGGAACTGCAGTGCTACTTCAGTGTGTGATCTATAATCAGAAATTATTTCTGAAAAAGTTAAACACTTAGAAAGCAAGTGCCACAGCTCATAGGATTATCTTCTGCTTCTGAAAAAAAAAAAAATCTGGAAGTTTTTAGACTTGCATATGAGCACACCACTGTGACCAACTGCCCATTCAGGGAACCAAATACTATTTCATAATGAATTCTTTCTGCCTGGAGGCTGTCTATGCAGATCAGTCCTGTGCTACCTCTGAGCAATACTAAATAAAGCCATTTTCCTTTTACAACAGGGGACTGTATCTTCCTTCAGAAATGCTGAATCCATTTACTGGTTCTGTTATCTATGGCTGTATCTATGGCTGTTATCTGCACCTGCCTTACTCATGTAAAGAACTCGGTTTGGGTAAAGTTCTTTTGTGTTTCTTCCTGTTGCTCTGCCTTCTTTCCTCCTCTTTGTGTTTCATCTTGAATATGACACTAAACTCACAACTCCAGTGTCACAGTAGAATGCTGCGTAGCATTACAGGCTTGGCTCCCTTTCTCTAGGTGTGGTTCTCTGACCTGAAAGTGGCTTTCAGGAGCAACAGAAACCATTTTTTAAAAAGCAGAAAGCATCTCTAGGCTAGAAATATTTTGCCCTTGCTGGTCAATGCTTTTCTCAGCTAAGACATATATCTACACATTTTTATAGAGAGTCACCCACTCTTTTTTGACCTTGGGCAAGTAATTTATACCTTCTTCTAGGCTGATCTGTAAAATGAGGCAACTAAAGCTCATTTAGCAGTCTTAAAGGGAGGCTTGGAAGGGAGAGTTAGATTAACTTGCAAAGCTCTCTGAAGAGGATTACTGGTCTGTAAAAGTACATGTATGAGGCTGAGCCAGCTACCAAGAGGAATTCGAACTATGCAATATTCAAATTGATTTAAATGTTGAGGACACTGCAGCAGAGATACTTTTTGCATGACAAAACAATTCTCCCCATTCTAATTACTCTGCTAAGCACAGCCAAAAGCAAAATACAGATCTAAAAAGAGATCCCCAGCCACTCCCGAGATAAAAAGCAAACAGAAGATGTTAACAGAAGGTACGTTAACAGTCATAATACTTTATTCTCTTTTCATTGTAAACAAACCTTGGTCATTAATGTAGAAGTTCTTTTTAACTGGCAGTACTCAATCCCTTTTTGATGCTCAAAAATTCAAAGCCCCTTGATAATTGCACTATTCATGACACAAGGCAGTTAGTCAGGATGAAAGTTCCAGTTCTGCTGGTAAGAGGAAAGATCCCTACAATTCCAGGTTAAGAACATCAGATTACAACAAACACTATAAAGTGCATCAGGTACAGTGCAAAGAGGTCAGGAAGGAAGGCAGGTACAGAAGTGACTGGTCTGCACAGCCAGCTCCACGCTCTGTGCTCTACACGGCTGAAGGAACTCGAGCAGAAAAGTAGGTATTACAGCAATGCAGATCCGGATACCCACCATAATGAGAGATTTGGAAATGATCGAAAACATGGATAGTGTCACGATTCAGGATTAGCTTAATGGCTGTAACCTGATGGTCAGTCTGGCCAAGAAAACAAAAGCAGCTTTCATTAGTACTAATGAGATAATGCAAATCTGTGGTCAGGAGATTCTGAAAGCTAAATGTGCTCATTTCTGACTGCTTTGCTCCAAGACGTTTCCAGCCCTGCTCCAGTGAGTGGAGCACCTCCAGGAGAGGTGACACAGGAAACACTACAGGAGATGGACCAAGTCCTTTCCAATACCATGGAAGTCTCTTCTTTCACTACAGTGAGCTTGGCAATAGTGCAAAACTCTCATTTGACAGTCTCTATTTTATATACTAAAACTATTTACAGCTACGTTACACTTCAGAAAACCTGTTTTTTCTTCTGAAGTAAACAACTAAACATTTTAACAGAAAAAAGGTGAACCAGTTTTCCTACTTCTTGTGCCAAAACACACGTAAATGGCAAAACGCAGACTCTTGTGGAGTCCTTCTGAAGGTCCAACTACTGCCTACCATTCTTCCACCCATTTCTCACATTCCAATCACAGTTGCAGAGAAACAGCTGCTTTTGTCAGCATCCCTGAACGCAGCCATTGCAAAAAGATTCCTGCTTTTTCATAAAACCGAGTTAACCCAACACTTAACAGAGCAAAGCCTGTCAATATAGTCTAGTAATAGAAATTAAGTCTGATGTTCTACCTGATGGGGACAGATTGTTACAGCAAGAAACAAATCCCTGTGTGACAGGGACACAGACTGCCTGTTGAATTTTACCACATCTTGCCCTGTCCGTATTTCCTGCTATACCTGATGAAAAACTGTGGAAGTTTGCTGACAACTGTTGAGTGATAAAGCTGCATTTCAGCAATTTATTGGAGATTCCCATAGCAAAGAAAGAGGTATGTGATTTTTCAACTAATTTAAAGGATTATTTTCCCTTTGTACTCCCCTTACAGGATATGCCCTTTATAACTTCATCCATCTAGTAAGGTCTCACGTGCCACATGTATGACACATCAGACAGGGTGACTGGTAAGTAGAAATCTGCCATGTAGAATCAGTTTTTACCTTTTGAAATGAACTAAAGAAATTGCCCACATTGCACAAGTGGAGAAGAGTGGGGGAAAAAAAGGGTTTATATAGGGCCTTTGAATTTCAGTCTTTGTTAAAGAATTTCTCTCCAATCTTGAAAAAGTTTACAGGAAACCCATAATCACAAAAATGTTTTATACTCTCGGCTACAATGAGTTGAGATTTTTCTCTCCTCTCTATATAGGTTTTCTGGATTAAAAATAAATCTACAAAGTTCAGTGCCTTTCAAAAAATAAAAATAAAAAAAAAAAAAATCAAACAACACCTCTCTCCGCCCCCTCAAACAACAATCAAAAAAATCCCAAACCAGAAAGAGAGAAGTGCTCTCTCCCATACACCTAAATTCCTGCTTGTTCAGTTTAAAACTGCCCCCCTCCCCCCCCATCAAAAAGATAGCCAAAAAACACCCTGAGGTAGTGACTGTTTGTGAAAATACAGGACCGGCACTTACAATTTAGTTCCCTTCCTTTCACCAGAGGCACATTAGCAGCATCCATTTACCACCACCAGTCAGGAGACTTGCATTTTACCAAGCGATCGCTGAACAGCCTTTAAGCTGTCTTGAAGCCTTCCCCTTCTGTACGACGGCAAACATCCCTTACTCATTACTTCCTAGTGCCCTGGGGAAGCCGAGTTCTCATTTTGGGCTGGTGCACTGAGAGCCATTGGGCACAGATGGCCTTCACAACGTCATCTCCGCTGTTCTCGGCCAGCTGCCGCACATGCTGGACGAGCTGCACCGCTCTGGTCTTCTCCTGTCTCACCGAGACCAGGTAGGCAGAACGCAACTTGTTGCACATCACGTAGGCCTGGATCTGAAGCAGAAGAGGCAGTCAGAACTTGGTTAGAAAGCTGTAGTTAGCTGACAGGTCAAGCTTAAGCAGGATTCCCTGGAAACACCTCATTCAAGAAGCGTGTTGTACAAAGTAGCAGCAGCATATTATGAAGCAAAGTATGGCACAGAGCAGAGCCCAATTTAAAAGATGGATACATGGCTCTATGTTATTCTTTGTCTCTTGTGGAAACTCCTTTACTGTGTCACCATGAAATTAGCATCAGGAAACCTATCTTGTGCCTTAATTTACCATATCCTCATGGTAAAGACTTTAAAGCAGTCATTTTCTTCCATTGCTCGTTCTAGAACAGCTCATGTCTGTCAGTGATAGATCTTGCGTAAAGGCAGAACAAAAAGCCCATTTTTCAATCTATATACAATAGCAAGTTGTCAGTTGGAACAGGGCAGAAATAAAATCCTAAGATTTTATTCCCAGCTGTGTCACCCAGGACCTACAACAATCCGCAAATGCTGAGCTACAGCCTCTTCATCTCTAAGCATGCACCTGCAGTTCACACATTTATCTGTGACTCCAGGGGCTTGGCCGGCTGGGATGAAAGCTAACAAAGAAACCAAGCAGTTTGGGCCTCGCTTCCTCTAAGACAAGAAGTATAGCAGAACATTTTATTATTTAACTCCTCATCACAACAGAAAT